TTAACTTTTATACAATTCATAATAATTCAAGTGATCATGAGAGGTTAAAAGGTTCAAATAGATGATTAATTCAAACAAATGGGTAAGTCTTGTAATGTGGTTGCCAAAGAAACAAGATTACAGGCTCAAAGGGGTTAACTACGACACATAACAATTAGGTGGGTAAAATATACATATCTGGCTCAACAAAGAAACGCCTATATCACTTCCAAGACTGAACAAAACTACTATTTCGCTTTGCAAACACACAGGGCAAGTTCTAGGCATCAAATGCAATGCACATAATATAACAAATCCTTACACATACATGGCACATAACTCACTCAGGATTGGTTTCATCAAGACACTTTAGTCAAAGCAGTTAAGCAAGTTTAAGATCATAAAATTTAAGGTACTTATACAAGAGTCAAAAACTGAGCCTAAGCGTCACAGCCAAAGTACTCACTATTCTCAAGGCATAACAAAGTCAAGAGATATTGCTTCAATTCAAAACACAACACAATGGCTCCTACTCCCAAAAAAAACTAACTACACCCGGTTCAAACAAAACCCTTGGAAAAGAACCACGGCACAAAGAAAAACCAAGGGGTAATTGCTACACTACCTAACAAAAGAAAATATTTTTTTTTTTGTCTTTTATTTCTTTAGACTTAAATCCCTCAAGAAAATTGTCTAATAGATCCATCGTCGGAAAAAGTTCAATCTTTAAAAAAAATATTATTTAATTAAACTAACACAGCTAAAGTGGCATGAAAAGTCACCCAGAGAATCTCCTCACCCCGCACTTAAAATTGTGCATTGTCCCCAATGCACATCATAACTATAAGAGGGTAAGAGAAACTCCCTGGTAGGCCAAAGGCCGAAGCACTAGCATCTCATGGGGTACTCAGACTTCTCCCAGGCCTGGTCCTTCGTGCGGGTACCTCACACTTAGTTCCAACCATACCATCTGGTTTGTTGTTGCATCCTTCCAATGGCTTTGCGTTGCATGCTCCTAAAAATCAAAAATCGACACTATAAGAATAATACAATAAAAAATAAATAAAATAAGTAAATAAAGTTGGGTTGCCTCCCAACAAGCGCTTCATTTAACGTCGTGGCACGACGTGAATCACTTTTTGCCTCCGCCTCGAGCTTATGAATTGAACCCCAAGTTTTGATTCAAGCTTATGATTATGGTCATGGGGCGGTGGAACGAATCTAACTGGCCCAAGGAAATAATGTAGTATTCTGCACTCCTTGGCCTTTGTATGAGGTATGTAATCCTGACTTTCTGGCAAGAAGAATTCCAGAATATATGCACCTTGTTCCACATTCTTTGACTCTTCAATTGGCTCGGATGACTCTATTTCCATATCATCATCCAAAAATAATGTGGAAAAATGCTTGGAGTGTGGACCAATGCGCTCAAACACATGAACTTCAGGACTTTCAACATCCTCAACATCATTCACACTAGAGTCAACTAAATTTGTATCTTCAATGTCCCTGGTTGACTCTAGTATTACTTCTTCAACGTCGGCATCCTCAAATTCTAGCTGGATAGATTGTTGGTGTTCTACTCTGACCTCCTCCTCTAGCTCATCCTCGTATTTTTTTAAATCCTCCAGCCAATTCATACTCATATTGGCTACTATCCACAATGTCAACTTGTTGCGCTTTACAAGGTTCAATTAATTTATTCGCTTGAGCCTCCAAGTTGTGAATAGTTGCCCCTTGCCTTTGTGCCCGCAGTTGTATCTCATCATATTGTTCCATAAGGCACTTTAGCATATCCTCGATCTCTTTCAGGTCCTCATACCTGGGTTCTTTGTTCCTATTAACTTCACAAGAAAAAGAAGAACCATCAAAGTAAGGGGTTGGGGGAAGATAAGAAATATAAGCACAACCATGAAAGTGACCATCTTGACCACCACACATATCACACACATTCCACATATAAGATTGAGTTGGTGCACAAAACTCGCTCTCGGGAATATTTTGATAATTTTGCCCTGGGCGGTTTCCTTCACAATATGCATAAGGAGGATTAAAAGTAGCATTACCACCATCCAAATTCCCATAATTCCATGATGCCATGTTTCTCAAATAAACAAATAAAACAAAAATAAAAAAATTTAAAAAAATCAAATACTAAAATAATAAAATAAAAGTTCAAACTTGAAACCTAGTAATATGTACATCTACTCTACACCGTTAGTTCCCCGGCAACGGCGCCAAAATTTGATCATGCCCAACTATGCCTTATAAAAAGGACTAAGCGGTCGTTGCAAATATAAGCCGGTTTACAGGTCCAGAGTCGAATCCCACAGAGAACTAAGGCTTAGCTACAGTTGTTATCACCAAGAATACAAGCTTGAACAATTCCTAACTTATAGATATTAATATTCTTGTGTTTAACTAACTAACTAACAAATTAAAATAATAAATTAACACTAAAGATACTACAGGTTGGAGAAAAGATTAAGGAGGTCTAGAGTTATGATTTCCCGAATTGTCGGAATCCTTTCCGCTATGTCTTCTATAATTTCGCCTAAGTATTCTCAACCGATCATGAGCGCTCTGCGTGTTGCAATTCTCTCCCGAGTAATTATGACAATTTACTAGACATACTCTCCCGAGTTACGCTAACTGACTTTAATTACAGCTTACTTAGATCGCACCCAATATTTAGTTATCCCTAATCCCACCTTTAAACCCTTGGTTATTGATTCCTCACATATGTCAGGAGTGATGTTGTTCAACAACTACCTAAATATGCACTCTCTCCCGAGTAATACATACTAAATAGGCACAGCTAATTGAGGGCCCTTCAATCAACCACAAGAATAATATAGTTGAACAAATAGAGAAAATACTACGGCTAAATGATATAAAAATATAATAAGAATTTATCCTACAAAAGGTTCAATCAAAACCCTAGATAACAAATTAGCTATTCATAATAGTATGTAAAACTACAATACTAAAAATCATAACCAACAATGAAAAATAGGAAGAGGAAGGAAAAACTCGTTGAAGAATTCTCCGTCTTGCTCCCAGTGTGTTCTTGACTCCTTAGGTCGACTCCCCGGTCTCCTTAGCCTCCGTAGGTCTAAATTATGTCAAAAGTGTGTCCAACCTCTCAAAATACCGTTTTTCCATGTATCTATACCAAGTAGGGTCGGGCCCAAACTATTATACCTTGTCCTACGCGAAAAAGGACAATTTTTTCACGTCTGGACGTCGCGGCCGCGGTAAAACCGCGGTACGACCGCGGTATATGGCAGGTATACTGCCTCAGCTCGCTTTAGGTCCGCGGTTGCGGTTTCGACCGCATTTTTCACCCTGTTCCATTTGGAATTTGGGAAAACGTAAAACATGAAAGTTGTAGCCCTTTGAGTTATTTTCCAATCGTATATTGTGGAGCCCAAATGGAGTTCTGAGTGAAAGGTTATGTGCATTTTACTAGACAGTGCGCAATATGCCTACTCGGTTCTTCGTTTTGTTGCTCTATCATCCGTTGATCCCCGAATACGATCCCGGCTTAATTCCTTAGGCTTTTACTCAAATTTCGAAGCTCTAAATCACTTGAATTCATTCCATAACATCTATATAGCTCGGAATCACTCCTACAAGGCATAAAACACACCGTTAGTGCAAAACACTAGCGATTAAAGCGCAAACTCAACTAAAGTGCAGTAAATTAGAGTGTAATAATCGACTAAAATATGTAATTATAGCCTATCATCACCAAACGCTAGCTTAGTATAAAGAATCAACCTATTGCATGATACTCTTTCATCCTCAATATATATGATTTTATGCCGAGGGAATTCAGATTAAATGGACCCAATATGGTAAAGGGCGGAGGCGGAGGGGTGCAGGGGGTTCAATTGATTCCCCTTCATCGAAAATTATACTATTATGTAAATCGGACAAAAATAAATTTTGTTGCTTATCAGAGTCGGCTCAAAGGCTTGACAACTAAGGCATATGCCTTAGGCCCCAATTACGAGGATCCCCAATTTTAAAAGAAATAAGTTATGTTTTAATTTTTCCTTAAAAAAGTTTAAGCATTTTATAGTAAAAAATTATCATTGTGAAGTTAATGTGACTATTAAGAAATGAAAAAATATTCTTGAATAAAGTAAACATTTCTTGATAATTTCAGTAAACTTGATATAACCTTCATTTTGCATTTGTACATTCTGGCAATTAAAATCTATAAGTATTATCTTAAAACAATAAGATTGCCAAATAATGAGAATGTGAAGGGAAAAAATATATTGTATTATTCTTTGATGAACCTTAAAGCATAATCGTCACTTTAATATTGATGGCTTAAACTTATATTTTTGAGTTGGTGTTAAAGAAAATAGTACAAATAGAAAATAATATTCTAATTAATATACTTAATTACATAAATTTCAATTGCCTAACAATTGCCTCGACGAAAAGAAATTTTTCAAGATAAATATATATAAGATCAACAACATCTCAAGAGTGATTAAATCGGTTAGCTATATTATTAATTGAAAAGTAACTACTAAAAACTCAATAATAAAAAATTTAGGCCTCTAATTTGAGTTACGCTTTAGGCCCCAATCATATTGAACTGCCCTGTTAATTATATATAAGTTATTAAACCTTCTTGGCATATAGAAATTTTGTATAATCTCCGTAATTGAATTCCTGACTCCAATAATGAATATAATATCGGATATCGGATAAAAAAACAAAAAAATTATGTTGCTCAATGTCTCTCATTACTCAACTCATTAAACGTTGAGAGAGTAGTATGTTACATAAAATTTGGTTAATTTCAACTTACTTTAGTCCAAATATTCAGAAGCTAATTGATTTATTACCTTCTTAATAGTATTCAGGTAAAAGGGAGTAGTAATATTAGTCTGCCGACACAGTCACATGCCGACACGTTCACAACACTGTCTCCACGTCTGATTCAATACCAAATTATCCAATTTTTCACAACCTCTCCCTCTTCTATTTCTTCTTTCTTCATTTTCTTTGCTTTTTAGCTAAAAAAGTTATAAAGGAACAGAGAGAATCTCCAGATATTGTACAACTAGTTTCCATTTTCCTTTTCCGATTCCTTCTATTTATATAAATAAATATATTCCTTTAACAATATGGCAGAAGCAACTCCAGTAACTCAAGAACCAGCTGTTGATAATTCTCCAGCTGCCATGGCTACCAAAGCTGATGATTCTAAAGCTCTCGCTACTGTTCCTCCACCAAGTAAATTCACTCAATTCTCTCTTCTTCTCTACTCTCTGTTTTTTTCCCCTTCATTTGAATGTTCAGTATTCAGTTATTAGTACTATTTGTACGTGTAACAGGTATTAATAGTTAGTGGAGTATATGAGTTCTTCCCCTGTGTTCTTTTTAATGAAAATTCAGAGGATGGATTCTTCCATTTTTTTTTATTTTTTTTTTAAAGTTAGGTTCGTTATTCAAAATTGTTGCTGTCTGTACTTGTAACAGATAATAAGGTTTTTATGACTTTTTTGTGTTTTTGTTAATGAAAATTCATAGGATGAATCCTTTTGAAATATCAATGACCATATTTAGTTTTTGAGCATCTGATATGTTTTTTTCCCTCTTCTTCTGATGAAAATATCTGTAAATGTGTAAAGTTATTTTTGATGGACGCTGTTTTAATTCATTGTAATCATGCTGATATTATCCTCGCCAATCCATCAGAATCCTCTTGTTATATTTCACAAATTTGTTTTTATGCGGTTTATAAATGGAGAGTTGAAATTATAAAGATCAGATACGAACTTTAATAAGAACTTGATGTTTCCTTGCTTGGAAGTTACTCATATACTCCTTTTGTTTCAATTTATGTGAACCTGTTTGACTGGACACGAAGTTTAAGAAAAAATGAATATTTTTGGAATTTGTTGTCCTAAATAAGGTAAAAAGGGTCCCAGAGTATTCGTGTGGTTATAAAAGCTTGTTATTAAGGATAGAATTGTAAATTTAAACTAAATTATTTCTAAATTTAGAAAGGAATCATTCCTTTTGGAACGGACCAAAAAGGAAATAGGTTCGGGTGTAATAATTTCTATACTTAAAAATCCCTAAAGATGCCTTTATCCATCTTTGCTGTTTCGTTCTTTGATGGTTAAATTTTGTGGCCTAAACCTCTATACTCTCCCTATATTTTTCTTTTAACTTGGAGAAGTTTGATAGGTGCATGTTTAATTTTATATTCTAGCGTTATTTTTACGCTATCAGATCACTTAAAAACATAATTAGATGTGAATTGTAATAAGACAAGTTATCTAGTTAGAATACATAATGGTATAGATAAGTTATCTAGTTAGAATACATAATGGTATAGAATATTTTTAGCTATCAATGTATATAAGTCAAATCCCACCAAAGAATAGGGGAGATTCTCAATTCTTTTTCCAGTTAGGCACTGCTTTGGTTCTAGCTTGGGGCTGATGGATTTTATTTTCATAACTATATATCTTGTTGGACTTGGTCATGTCTGATTCTCATGGCTTTATATGCCAACAAATTTTAAATTATTGGAAATGCTTGTTCCTTGTATTATATTATTATTTTTCTAAGATCATGATTATAACGTAGGTCCACTCTCCTCCTTTACCTGAAAAAATAAATAAATACATTTATGATTAGGTGCCCAACTTAGTGGATGGTCACTCTAGAAATCATTGGTAGATACCAATTGTAGTGGAGGGCAATTCCTTAAGCTTTCTTTAGGAAGTCTAGCCGACAGGAATTTTTAGCTAAAGGGTAATGAAAAGATGTATCTATGTAGTCATTTACTCACTTAAACACCAATTGATGCATTTTTCACTTTACTATCAAGATACATGGCTTTTCCCCGGACAATATATCTTTGTGGTTCGGCCCTTCCCCGGACCCCACGCATAGCGGTAGCTTAGTGCACCGGACTGCCCTTTTTATCAAGATATATGGCTATGTAAAATCTTTAAGAGTTGAGTAATCTGATAGTGAAATGTAGCCTGTCAACAGAAAACTATTATGCTACGGTTTTGTAGCATGTAAGGTATCTTATTTGTCAAGTTACCAATCCCGCTTTATATGAACTGTAACCTGTAATTATCTTTTAAATAACCTGATAGATTAAAAACATCCTTTACATTGTCGTTGAACTCATGCTGAAATTTGTGAGGCATTTCAGATAGAGTGTTCTTATCGACGACATAGCACAAAAAGATCATTGGTGTTAACTTGGCTGATCGCGTACTTGAAGTTCTGTGATGTTTGTAACTATTTTCTGATAGGAAGGTTCAATAGAAAGCACAATTTTTAGCTGCTTGTGTCATGAGGGAAATATTCTGTCTGATGATGTATTCTTGTTTTCTGATTTTGCAGAGACCGATTCTTCAACAAAGAAGAGTTCAAAGGGATCCCTCGACAGAGGTACACCTAAGGCCTTGATCTAATACCGGTTCTTGTTTTTAACTTCTCAATGAAACAACTTTTCAGTTTTCATTCAAGTCTGGCTTAGGCAACTTCAGTTTGAAGCTTGCAACGTTATGTGATAAAATACAGCAAAAATCAGTCACATTTCAGGAATTAACAAGTTTTTATATTTCTTATTTTTTTTGCCAGACATTGCTCTCGCGCACCTTGAAACAGAGAAAAGGAATTCTTATATCAAGGCATGGGAAGAAAGTGAAAAAAGCAAGGTGGAAAACAAGTAAGATCTTTAACTTTTGCTTTTGAGCATAAGAACATTGCACATACCAAAATTATTCCCCGAGCCAATACAATTGCTAAGTCATTCTTCACCTTGTCTTGTGATGAATAGGGCCGAAAAGAAGCTCTCTGCAGTTGGGACATGGGAGAACACCAAGAAAGCAAATCTTGAAGCTAAACTGAAGAAACTTGAGGTAATTCAAAATCTAGTATACATGCTTCTTCAACACTTTTGAACGTGGCATACTTGAAAACATGATGCGTTCGGGGAAAATGTCTCATTTCGAACTGCTTTGACACGTTGTTTCATTAAGCATTCCACATTCTGGCTGCAAATGAGGTTGTGATCCAAAGGCTTTTTATTTCCTTTAGCATTCGAGAAACCTTAGCGATAGCTAAAGCGATAACTTAAGACTTTAAAAACTGGGTTTTTGTCGTCCATTGCTGACCAAAATTTGGGCAATTCATAGGATGTGACAATCCATGCGGTTGAGTTGTTAGGTATCGTTGAGGATTTATCACATAGGGTGGTTTTGTCCCATATAGAAATTTTATGAAGTTGAATAGTTGATAACCTTGTGGAATTTTTGCAGGAACATCTAGAGGAAAAGAAAGCAGAATATGCAGAGAAGATCAAAAATAGAGTAGCCGCAGTTCACAAGGAGGCTGACGAAAAGAGAGCTATGGTTGAAGCCAGAAAGGGAGAAGAACTACTTAAAGCAGATGAGATGGCTGCCAAGTATCGTGCAACGGGACAAGCCCCTAAGAAGTTGCTTGGATGCCTTGGATGTTAAAGCTGTGAAATGTTTCTTTCTCCTTTGTAAATTTTCATGCTTGTTGCTCTTTATTGGGTGTTTCAAACATGTCAAGTTTCCTATTTGTGTATGAAAAGCACTCATGGAAGTTTTAAGTGTCATGATAATGATAATTCCACTTCAGATGTTTCTATTAATACTTCATACTGCATATGAGATTATGCATGAAAAATTTGGGAGTTCCAATGAGTGGATATGTTGTCAAGAATCTCTGCAATGAGATAAAAAACGCTCTGCTGAGGCTCGAGTAGAAGAGGGGGTACTTGAGCAGAGGGCCGTTTCAGACCAGTGAAGATTGAAATTGAGGAAAACAGCATCAAGTAAAAAGTCTTTAATATGAACCATGACTTGTAAAAACAAAAACACAGATATGATTCTGGACATTCCAGCAAAAAAAAAAACATGCATTATAGCACTATTGCTATTACACTAATATATAGAGATAAAATACATGTCTTTTGCCCAGTTGGAGCTAAGATTGTCCTATTGCTATGACAGTAATATATAGTAGAGTTAGAATATGTGGTTTTTCCACAGCTGGAGATACTAAAACAACCAGCAGAAAATTCTTCAGAATCCATATTTCCGAGTCACTGATATCAGAGGAAGCAGACTGCATGTTCTGCTTTAGGACAGATCAATGAGCTTTCACTCGAAAAAGGATACATGCTACATGAATCACTGTGTCCTAGAAAGCTCAAGTCATTGTTAGTAGGGAAATCCAAAAGAAGTTGCAATGCTGATTCAGATGAATCCTCCAACGCGTTGCAGCTCGAGGTTTCTGAACCTTGCAAGATATCTTCAGTATGTGGTTGGTCATTCTTCCACCCTGCATATTCATTTTGGTTGCTCCCTGTAACTGGGGAACCAGCAACACCACCGAGCTCAACCTCAGTCGTAATACCTGAAGCTGATCCGTATTTTGTACACGAAGATGCTTGAGAAGCTGGACTTTGAGAATCAGTCTTTTCTCGGTTCTTAAATTTCCTAAATGTCTCTCCTATCTCTGAGTTCCACATGCGCAGAAAATGGTCAGTAGTATCAGACCTATCTATAGACGATGGAACCAAGAGTTGGGACTCTCTGGAAAGACGAGCCTCAGCTTCGAGTCTAGCACTTTCCCATTGTGCCATGTGACGAGCTGAAGTTGATGTAGGCGGTCTTCTCAGCAGTCCATTAGAGGCAGAGGATGGTTCATGAGTGTCAGGATCAATGCCCATTGAAAGCAGGTGCTTTTTCAGGTGAGTATTCCACAGATTCTTTATCTCATTGTCTGTCCTTCCAGGTAGTTGTGAAGCAATTGCAGCCCATCTACATGAACTCAGTAATGATTATTCATAGATATTGAAGTATAAATGATGCTAATAGGTATTCTCAATTAGGTAATGGAGTGATAAATACAGGAGATTAAGTATGCCACTACAAAAGACAAAACAAGATCATGCAAAAGAACACTAACCTGTTTCCAAGAATGCCATGTAACTGAATGACAAGTTTCTGTTCATCGAGGCTAAAAGGACCTCGTTTGATGTCTGGCCTCAGATAATTTGTCCATCTAAGACGACAACTTTTCCCACAGCGAAGAAGACCTGTCATTGAAAATTGCAGAATAGATCTTCATTAACAAGCCATGAGTAACACAATGCTTTACTTATATTCCAGCAAGAGAATTCTAACTTTCCTACCAAAAGTGGAAAATAGTCCAACAAAAATCAGGTAAAAACAAACAGATTATATATGAGTTTATGATATTGATATCATGGACCAATGTTGCCATCAGATTCCCTCTATGTTGAGCATCCTAGCATTTTAAATGTCAAATCATAACACAGAAATGTATGGTGAAATATTCCTTTTGAATGTTTGTCTACAATATTTTCTTGTGAAAAGCTAGTTTATATACCAGCAAGTTGATTCTCCCCCATAATATGTTTGACAAACTATATCCAAGTTTTGCTCTAAGTTGTATGTGATAACTCAACTCTATACACAAATGGCAACCCGATCCCAACATTTGATTACATGAAATGGCAAAGGAGGAGATGGAACATGACTACTCTCAGGTGCCTCGACTGCAAAGAGAAGGCAACATCTTAGGTAAAGCTTAGTCCCTCCAACTTTACATAACTGTTTTCATGTATTCCTGTAATGCTTGTCTCTTGTAGTCCAGAAAATAAATTGCATTACTCATTCTGTAAGCTCTCCCAATTATAGCATAAGCAATTACATGACACCAATAGACCAAGCTGGTTAGTATAACTTGGGAAATATGATGTTAGCGAGACAAACTGCAACAAGGCTGTAATTAAAGTAGTGAACCAGCATCGACGCCAGTTATCACTGGAGATGACATTTAGTACCAAAATAGCCTGTGGACTAGCTCATTTTCACACTAAGAGGGACCGTGTTTAGCCCAACACTCTTTTTTGATATAGGAGAAATCCCATGTGAGCTTCTGGCTTAACATCAGTTGGTGCACAGGTTCGAAACTCTAGAGGGACCAAACTTTGACAGCGCCAAAGTTCAAGCTTGTGACGTGTGCCTAACTCACACATCAACATATTGCGTCCTAATCACTAATTCAAAGCCCTTGGGGCATGTGTTGAGCCCACATTATTAGTGTATTTCAATAAATCTGTATTAGGTGATACCCTTTTTTGCTTGAGCCCGACCGGGTTGGGTCCGGACCGGAGCAAATCGGGGCCATCGAACCCGACCTGGATGCAAGGTAGAACGACGGCCACGTCTACAGCCGAGGTCGAGTCATTTCGAGACCGTTACAGAGCTCGATAGGAGTCACCACCGGATGGAGAAACACACAAGGTCGGAAGCCGGACTCGTAACGGATAACCAAGCGTCGCCGGATATCTCGCCCAAACGTGATTTTCTCAACCACTTCAGGCCATTAAGGCGTAATTACAGGGATCCACGATGTAATCAATTGACCTACCTTATTTTTACCCTTAATCAGAATGTATAAAGGGGGATCTCTCTAAATTCTTGTGGATCATCAAGCACAATGGTTCTAAGCAATATTATATTCTGCGATTATTTACTTTAACAGCAATTGTTGAGTCTTTATCTTTATTTTCCTTAACCTAAAAACCTTTTGTATCTTTTAGTTCACGGATCCTTAAAACCCCATATAAATTCAATTGTTATCCGGATTCGAGGGTAAACACATTAAGTTTCCGGCTCTGCTCTCGTACAAGCTCGGCTTAGCCCGATTAAGCTCCCGGCTGCACCCCCCTTAGCTTAACAACCGAGCTCTTTCTTTGCTTCCTCCAGCCGAATAGCACAAGGATCGCGTGCTCTTATTCAAAAGGTCGCAATACGGTCCGGCTCTTCTAGCAACTTCTCTTCAGGACCCCGGCGCCCCTCTCGCTCCGCCCATTTTGTCCCTTTGATTCGGAGGAAACATCGAGTGATATAGACCGATGCCTGCAAAGGAAAAGTCTAAAGAGTCAGTAATGGCTAGGTCCACAAGGCAAAAATAATTAGAAATATAAAGGAAGAGAGCAAATACCTTGAGCTGCGCCTGCTGGGCTTCGTGAAAAGGCATGTCGCACATCTAGCACGCTCGGTCGAGCCCCCGGTCCTTCCTCCGTCATCAAGATGATGAAGATAGCTGCAATCCTGACCGGGGGTCCCAGAGCCCGGACGTCTTTGGGGATAAGCAAACAGTTTACTATCCTGTTACAGTCCGGGTCCAGCTCGGAGCCGAACCCTATCAACAAGCTTGTGTGATGGCCGAAGTCCCACTTGATTCGGCCTGAAGGTCTTTCCGGGGGATTTCGAGCCCGAAAGTGTTGGCGGAGGGTACCCCATCAAAAAAAGGTCTCGAAGCTACCTCCATCATCGGAATGTCGTCCGGCAGCTGCCCCAAGTCGAGGAAGATGGGTGGGAGTAAGGGTGAATCGGTACGCGGGGATGCCGCGCCAGGGCCGAGGGTTTCACTAGCATCCTTCAACCGCTCAACGTCCTCTGGAGCAGCCTCAATGGAATGGTCCACCGCTCAGGGTCCGGTCCCGAATGGACGGTGGGCGGACGAGCTCCGGCTGCTCCTCATCGTCATCCTCTTTGTCATCCTCTTCCTCGGAGGACAATACATTTGGCTTTTTTGGTTTGCGGGCGACCTTTGTTTGCCGCTTAAGTCTTCCTTTGAGGCTGCATCCGTACCGGACTTCCCGCGGGGCCTTTTATTTTCTCCCGGAAACTGGAAGGGGGATATGTATTGAAGACCTCAAATCTCCGCGTTCCTTGGGCAGGCCTGCAAAACACGAGGGTTATGATGCATTCCCTGATATACAGGAAAAAATGCGCTAACGGTCAAAAGAAGGCTTACCATGGTTCATTTCGCCTCCCACCGACCTTTGGAGAATTTCCTTCCAGTTTCGCTCCGATATGGCCGCTGGGCCACTATCTTGTTTACCCAGCGGCCAGATCCTTGACGGCAGCTTGAGTTTGGGTCACCGGCTGCACAATTGGGAAGAGGGGGGGATGAAAGGTTCAGGAAGGAGTTGAGGAAAACCGCTCTAAAAAAGATGAATCAGTGAGAAAATACTTACGTTTTGAGGTTCCACCTCTCGGAAATGGCATGCAAATCGGCCGGAATCAGTCGGACGCCTGATCCGGACAAACCTGCTCATACCAGCCTCGATCTTTGTCTTCATCGATGCTGAGAGAATCGGGGGTTTGCTAGCCCGGCGGGCCAGTTTTATTAATCCCCCCTCGAAATATCGGGGGCTGTATAGTCGAAGAAGATGTCGAGGGTAAAGGGGAATACGCCCTCCGGACTCTCTCAACAAAAATACCGAGACAGAGATATATCGATCCGCCACATCGGAGGGTGGATCTGACCCATATAGGTCACCTCGTACCGCCGGCAGAACCCACTATGATGGGTTCTAAGGGGCCTAAGGTGAAGGATAATGTATATACAGCTAAGAATAATCCTTTCAACGTGAGTCATAATAGACTCGTCACGGAAGGGGCGACCAAGGTCTCTTCCCTTCCCATCTACATTCACCTCACTCCGGTCTAGGCAACCGGGAGTGATTAGATAATATACTCCGATGCCGGTTCGCGCGGCCGGGACCGATGATGGGTTTCAACCTGGAAGTCGCAGATACCCGAGCAATCCAGTCGGTGTGAATGCCTTTTCAATGGGGGTTCCTGGTGCATGTTTCATCAGATCTAAGCGGGGGCTCGCGGCCGAGCTTGGTCTAGAAGGGACACTTTGTGAAGTTTTTCGCCATTTCTTAAGGCTTTACGAAGAGATGAAAAGAAAATAAACCAAACGAGATTTAGAGAAAGAAGAAAATGGCTGAACCTGGAAGGGTCGTTTATACTTTTTCCATGAAGGCGGTGGCACGAATCGCGAAGCGCCAACAGACACGAAGCGACCAGAATAATTAAGAGAAGCATTAAATGCTGCAGCAGGCGTGGTCCAGACATCATGCTTTTTCACCTGGCGTATGGCCATAACGTCACGGGCCATCAACGTCACCGGTCATATCGTTTATTATCATTACCCTCTAGATAAACGAGGGGATATCCCGCTTCCTCGAGCTCCAGGTAAGGCTCAATTTATTCTTTTGGTTACTGACTACTTCTCCAAATGGGTTGAAGCGCAGGCTTACGAAAAGGTTCGAGAGAAAGAAGTAATCGACTTCCTTTGGGACCACGTCGTGTGTCGGTTCGGGATGCCTTCCGAAATAGTATGTGACAATGGGAAACAGTTCGTTGGGAGCAAGGTATCAAGATTCTTCGAGGATAACAAGATCAAGAGGGTATTGTCAACCCCGTACCATCCCACCGGAAACGGGCAGGCTGAGTCGACCAACAAGACCATCGTTCAGAACCTAAAGAAAAGGTTACAAGACGCAAAAGGAAAATGGAGAGAGATGTGCCCGAAATCCTATCGGGCCTACCGGACAACCGAAAGGACTAGTACCGGTGCCACTCCTTTCTCTTTGGTTTACGGAACCGAGGCCTTGATCCCAGTCGAGGTGGGCGAACCCAGCGCTAGATTCCGGTATGCAACCGAGGTTACCAACCAAGAAGCAATGCTCACCAGCTTGGATCTTTTAGACGAAAGGAGAGAGGCCGCACTAGTTAGGATGGCAGCTCAGAAACAAAAGATCGAGAGATATTATAACCGAAGGGCTCGTCTTCGATACTTCAATATAGGGGACTTGGTACTAAGAAAGGTCACCCTCAACACTCGAGACCCTAACGAAGGGAAATTAGGACCGAACTGGGAAGGCCCTTACACCATTTTGAAGGTAACCGGAAAAGGTTCGTACAAGTTAGGAACGATGGATGGGAAAGAACTACCCAATAACTGGAATATAGGCCACTTGAAGAGATACTACTGCTAAAGGTCGATGATCGGTCGCTAAGATAAGTTCGGACATCGGAGAGACTGAAAGCACGAGCTGCACTCTTTTTTCCTTCGACCGTTTTTGTCCCAACTCGGGTTTTTCGGCAAGGTTTTTAACGAGGCAGCAAGAACATCGTGCTACTATAAAGGTATCCAAGGGTAAATCATTGTATACTAAATCGCCCTCCGAAGGAGGCGAAGGTC